GGACGAATACTAAGTTACAGAAAGCCAGGTACATTTAGTATTTCGGCATCTTGTTCTCTTGTTTTTCCTAGCACAGAAGAATTGTCACGTGTTTAGGTTGTTTGCGTTTTATATCAAGTTCAGTTGATGTTATCAGGTTCAATTTTTTTTTCTCCATTTTTTGGACCCTCTAACAGGCCATTTATTGAAAATCAATCACAAGACTAAAAATTTAATTCGTCACGAAGACGAATAAGGTGGTCTGTCTTCAAGTCTTATAATAGATTATAATATTTACTATATTGAAAAAGGGAGAAGTTATATAGACATGTAAACAATGATGATTATGATGATGATGATCTTGATAGTAATGATTATGATGATCATCATCATCATGATGTTGTTGAGGATGATTATCATCATTATGATAATATGATGATCATGAGCATGAGCATGATCCTGACATCTGATTGAAAAAATGAGGAAATATTTAGATAGCAAATACTCTCAGCTACAACATGCTAAAATTTGGGAGAAAACTGTTGAATAACAACCGAGTTACTGGTCAAAACACATTGTCATGCAGATTCATGTTTTGAAAAAAAGTGACCTCCCATAGACATAACACGCAAATATGACAAATTATGCATTGTCGCCTTTAATCAAATATTTAACTATGATGACGTCATCCGAATGAAAAAAATGGCATATTTCTGGTAGAAAATTATCTCAGCTACAACATATCAAAATCTGGGAGAAAATCGATCACCGATAAGCGAGATAATCTCAATTAAACAAAGACAAAAGTGACGTCATCAACAAAATACTTTTTTTTTAGTTTAGATGCCAATATAATGACTTTGTTTCACTTTGTACGAGTCTAGGTGGTATGAAATCATATTTCCAACTCATGCTTTTTCCAACCATGATATAAAAAATGGGGGTCGACGTACTATCTGAAGAGCTACTTCGATTTTTAAAATGGCATGTTTTTGATCAAATTTGCATTGTATTGCCCATAGCAGCACGCGCGAATTTTGAACTTTGACGCACGCTCACGGCCTTATGAATGGGCAAGAGTGACTGTCAATAACGGTAAGAGGAATCGAAATCATGTAAAAAAAAAAAATGAATTTGATCTTTTTCGCGCGCTGTACGGACGGAAAATGTTGAAATGCTTCATGCTTCACGCATCATGAAGATATGATGGATAATGTGATTTCACAAAATGGCGCCTGGATGACGTCACGATAATTTGATGACCTTGAAAATGTTACTGTCACGTCTCATGACAATGACCTATGACTATGCCAAAATTAAACGAAATTGACTAAACCCATCTTGAGTTATGCTAGGCACAAAAAAATGGGGAGAAATAAATAAAAATGATAAAGAAAGAAAAATCCTGACGAAACTAATAGGTGATCTGTCTACGACAGACCACCTAATAACATATTTGAAGACATGTTCCAATGAATATCATATAATATTATACAAATATACACTGCTTTGAGAGGTTCTGGTTAAAACTATATGCAAGAGGTGACTCCAAAGTACCATTTGCTGAGGGGCGCAGCCCCGAAGCAAATGGTACTTTTGGAGTCACCGAGGCCCATAGTTTAACCAGTACCTCGAATAGAAGGTATGGTATATTTGTTTTATATCCTGCATCAAAAAATTATTTAAAAAAAAAAAAAAAAACATTTTTGGGAAAAAAAAATTTAGGACAAAAAAAATGTCAATGTTTATCTAAACAGATTTAAAATATTTTGTTTTCGTTAAATTAAGATTTGAAAAAAAATTGATTCAACTCCCAAATAGTTAACCAAAATAGTACTCTCATATACTACTTTCTAAAAATAGGTCAAATATTTCTGGTCATGTAACGAGCTCTCAACCAATCAAAAGCCAACAAATTTTTGATGCAAGATATAATTCAAAATAAGATATACATAACGAATATCAACCATAATACTGTTTATACAGAACATACATGTAGATTAGGGAAAGAAAAAAAAAATTAAATAAGAATGCAACATCATGACTGAAAATGAGGTTCAATATTGCCCAAGTTATAACCTTGTTTGCTTGTAAAAGACATGTGAGTTACTCCACATTTTTATACCTAATAATTATTTTGGTTCTGTTACCGTCTGTATATTAATGAAACAACCTCTTCATTCGTTTGGAATAAAATACTTTCTATCTTACAAAATCTATGTATCCATCATTGCATTACTATAAAACCATAACCTCTGCAATTTACTCACATTGATTGAGAGAGTATATAAATATTTTATCAGTCAAAGGGTTCTGCAATCGTTCATTCAAAACATGCAAATATGTTTCCCGTGATCTCGTTATACAGCTATTTATGATTTGTTATATGAAAGTATGCGTTGTTATTTGCTTGTTAACCGAGAATATTTACATGATTAAAAAATCGTCGACAGTCAACGAACCATCAAATGGGTCCCTCCTCTGTGCGTTATATATATATGGACCATTTTGACCGATTCGTCAGTTCGTGTGACCGCCGACCAATCATTTATTTGTGACGTGTTGTATCCACATAATTATGTAATAATGTAATTTATTTTTAAATAAAAAAAAATAAAAAAAGGAATAAGACGGTGGGTCTTAGTTTCGAAGATTTGTTTAAATTTCTATCTCTTTTGAAATAACCGCGTCTGGACTCTGGAGGAAAGACTACGCTCTATACCCATGTTATTCCACAGGAATGAGATGGTGAGGTCTTAGTTTGAAGATTTTTTTTTTTAAATAACCGAGTCTGAAGTAAAGACTACGCTCTAATCCCATGCTTTATTACCGGGTCTTAATTTGGAAGATGGAGGGGTCTTAGTTATAATTTTTTTTTTTTTTTAAACTTTTGAATAACCGGGTCTGGAGGAAAGACTACGCTCAATACTCAATACTCATTTGAACGCGCACGTGCGCGTAAACACAAGTACGTACGTTTAGTTTTAGTTTATAGGCGTTTTTTCATTCACAACTTGCTAGGCCGTCGTCTCTTTCCAAAATTATTAATTTATTGAATTTTCTCTCTAAAAAAAAGTTATAGAGTCTAAAAAGAAAAAAAGAGGAAGGAAAGAGGATGGAAAGAGAAAGAATCCTAAAAATAGTCATTTATGACATGAAATTGTACATATATGTATATATATAAATAATTCATAAAATAGTGTGTGGCAAAAATAGTCAACTGTGACTGATTGCCAAACAAAAACAAATCAAGAAGAAGTTCTTCCACAGGAATAAGATGATGGGGTCTTAGTTTTGAAGATTTTTAAAAAGTTTTGAAATAACCGAGTCTGGAAGAAAAACTTCGCTCTAAACCCATGCTTTGTTACCGGGTCTTAGTTTGGAAGATGGTGGGGTCTTAGTTTAATTTTTTTTTTATTTTTTTTTAAAAACTTTTGAATAACCGGGTCTGGAGGAAAGACTACGCTCGATTCTCATATTATTCCACAGGAAAAGGATTATGGGGTCTTAGTTTTGAAGATTTTTTAAATTTTTAAATTTTTGAAATAACCGGGTCTGAAGTAAAGACTACGCTCGATTCTCATATTATTCCACAGGAAAAGGATTATGGGGTCTTAGTTTTGAAGATTTTTAAAATTTTTTAAATTTTTGAAATAACCGGGTCTGAAGTAAAGACTGCGCGCTATACCCATGCTTTATTACAGGGTTTTAGTTTTGAACAAATTCAACAAAATATCCCTTCAAATTTATTACATTTGTGGGTAAAGTCATTATTACATTTGTGGGTAAAGTGGTTATTACATTTGTGGGTGAAATTATTACATTTGTGGGTAAAGTGTTACTACATTTGTGGGTGAAATTATTACATTTGTGGGTAAAGTGTTATTACATTTGTGGGTGTAACATCCCCCCCCCCAACTTCCCCATACCATGCACTGCCCCCTCAATACCGCTGCACGTATACACACAACATGTGTACTTTGTCCTGGGGATTTGAGAGGTCCCTACTTTTTGCGCCCTCTCTCCGCCAGCAATTTACTGATAAAAATGAGAGAGTCAAAGTACAGGAGATACAACAGATTGAATATCAAAATAGGAAGACAGAGAAGTAGTGGGATATTGATACCAAGATGTGAAATCCAATCATGGAATACTGTTTTATAGTCACCAACAAACAAACATAGCATTCAACGTATATAATTTCATCATATGAATTTATTCCACTCATAAACACACATGTTACACATGGTGATATAAACATCCAATTATATCTAAATAACTTAACTATTACCTGAAGTAAATCTGACCCAAAGAAATAAATTGCTTTACTAATCTGGGGTAAATGTAAATGTTGTAAAGTCAAATAATACAGATTTTTCAATATAGACCAGCCAGGAGTTAATTTTATCAGGCTTTCAATCATATAGCCCCACCAGGATGAATTGATGATCTAGTTGAGGGCATTTTGTTCATCTTGTTGTATTGTTGGCATGCACTGCTTTTGAGCTTGCCTATAAAATGAAATTAATACAAAAACGCAAATTTTAATTATCAAATCTTTTCAAATCAGCTTCCTACCAAAACTGAAAACCCTTCATATGGGTTTCCTTGCTATTCACACGGACCGCTATTTATAAATGACAGCTATTCAATTAGTCACGTGTTATGGATAGCGGTCCTTATGAAAAGAGGTCCTTATGAATGGCGGTCCTTATGAATAGCGAGGTAAATTATCTATTGTTTGCTCGCTACCTATAAGTGCTGCTATTCATAAAAGAATGCTTAACATTTTGTCATGCGTTATAAATAGCAGTCCTTATGAATAATGGTCCTCATGGATAGTGAACTTACCCCTTCAAACCACTCACCTTTGGGTGATATTGTTAATGTTACAAGTTAGATGAAGTGTGCAATTTCATTTGAAACACATTTTACAAACATACAAAGCTAAGTAGTTCGAACTGCAGTTACAATCTTTTTGCAGACAGCAAATAAGTTCACGCCATCAAATCCAAATGCTGTACATTTTCATGTAATGTATTAATCCTGTATTGTTAAAAAACAAACAAAAGATAGATAGACATGACATGACAATTTAGATCATCTGGAATGTCAAACTATATATTTTAAACATGAATACATCCATCTGGTAGCGTCTATAAGGGCAATAACATGTATAATTGGGAATTTCCAAATGCAATGTGGAAGAGTTACCTTGAATACACCAGATTTTTGGATTACCAATTAATTTGCATGCAAATCTTAGATTAGACACATCAAAACTTGTTGACCACCTTTTGCCTGCCATAGTTCAAGTCAAGTCAAGATGTTAGTTTTTGTGAAACACCACCCTTGTGTTTGCTTGTTGCAATTGCAAGCTTATACAGGCTGAGCCGTTCCAGTTAGAAATCAAATGAAGGAAGGATTACTATTGATTGCCTAATTCTTCTCATGTTTGACAGTTGCTGTTTTACTGGTATCAAAATCTAGGGGTCTTTGTTGTTTGTTAATACTCAAAAGCTTTTCAACGGGAGAGCAATACCCAGTCCGATTCAGGCCAAGCAAAATCAGTTAGAAATCATAGATGTAAGAAGGTCTACTGTTGATTGTCTAAATGTCTTATGTTTCATAGGTGCAGTTTTACTGGCATCGAATTCTAGTGGCCTTTGCTGTTTTTTGTTAAGACTGAAAGATATTCAACAGAAGAACAATTACCAGTCCGATTCAGGCTGAGCCGTATCATTTAGAAATCATAGATGAGTGAAAAATGAATAGCGATGTGTTCTTATGTTTGAAAAGCACAGTTTTGGTGCCAGCATCGAAATGTTTTACTTGGAGCTTTTCGGTTTTATTGCAAGGGTTAGGGCAAAAGAAATGGTGCCATCTCATACAAGCTGAGTCAACCCGGTAAAAGGTCATTGATAAGGAAAGAAAAATGGCGATTGTCTCTAGATGTGTTCTTTCATGGTTGAAAGGCATGGTTTGGTCTGGTAGTCGTCGCTGGATGGTTATATTACAAGCTTTCTAGGATAATAGCTATTCCTTGTCCGCCACCGATACAGGCTGAGCCCACACCATACTTGTTACCTCTCCGTCTGTATCAGATGAGAATAGAGTGGAATAGAATAGAAAAAATATATGATGACAATGATACTATCAGCAACAAAAAACAGCATCAATAACAACAACAATATTGATGATAGTATTCATAATGATTTAAATGATAATGATAGTAGATAATGATGAAGATGATGTTGATAATAATACTACAGCATTTGTAATGCGCCATCTACTCGGGTAAACTATTCTGTCTGAGGCGCAGAGGGAGATTATTACCCTGGCTTTAGCACGGCTGCCATTACAGCGCTCTATTAACTAATTACTGCCAGGTACCCATTAACATCACAAGGGTTGCCTTTGGCAAATGCATATCAATGTCTTGCCAAGGACATTAGTGCGGCGGCGAGACTCAAACTGAGGACCTTGTGATCGACAGTCCAGCGACGTATCCACTCAACCACGACACCTCTACATAATAATGATGATGATGTTGATGATGAAGATGATAATAACAATAGCAATAATAATTATGATAATAGTACTTTTAGTAATAAACACAATCTCAACCCAGGGGGCTGCTTCACAAAGATTCTGAGTCGAACTTAACTCTAAATTAAAAATCATGAAGAGCCATTTGTAGCCTTATAATGAAACATATTCAAAAGCAAAAATTGAAGTATTGTAGACTTGTTATAAATTCTGCATCAAGAACATGAAATCTCCCATGATAATAGAACATATAAATTATTGATTTGAATCAACATTTTATGCCTTTTAAAATAACTTTTACTAAATATTTTGCTAACAGCTTTCCATAATTGTTAAGTCCAACTTGGAGATAAGTTCAACTTAAAGGCCGCCTGAGCTAGTGTGGACAGGAGGGATTAGACCACCCAGCAAGGTCACTGGCAGGTGGCTATCTCATCAACTCAGCTCTCAATTAACAGAAGAAAAAGAGGATCATGGGGGACCAACAGGTACCGATTAGGCATTGTTTGTTATATACAGGGAGCAAGTAGCTACAAGTAGTACAGTGGGGCATTAGGATCCTTGTGGAACACCCCCCAGGAGCAGTTGTAGACAGAGGATATGTTGGATCTCCTACCTGAGCTCATGGACTAGGTGTGCTGTGATCCTCGCCCCAGAGGCCCCCACAGGATGACCCATGGCAATAGCACCCCCGTTGACGTTTGTCTTCTGACGGTCCAACCCAAGCTCGCGCTCCACTGCGATGAACTGTGCTGCGAACGCCTCATTGACCTAATGGGTAAACGAACATGAATTATTCTTTGCAAGAAGGGATTGCCATGAAGAAAATTAAGGTACTTTTGATGTTTACATGTAATACAATCACTATGAAATATTGTACATTAATTAATTTATTTGATGATGTGTAATAAGTTGACTGTATCACATTCATATATTTATTGTGTTTCTTTGACTTTGGGTACATTATTTCTACTATTGTTATCTATCTGTTTGTATATTTTTATATATGTATCACTAAAAGTGAATTCAATCTAAATCCAATTACACCAAAGCTTCAGATGAAAAAAGCATCTTCGGCCCCTGGTCCAGATTGCTTAATGTATGGGTTGTTACGTAATGTACCTTGTATTCACCATTGTCTAGCTACTTGTATTCTCGTATACTATTTGAAAGTAATGATCCACCCGGTAATTGGTCTGTCTCTTGTGTTTCCCTTATACACAAAGAGAGATACTTCCCTACCCGAAAATTTCAGAATGATCTCACTCACTTCATGCGTGAGCAAAGTATTTCACCAAATTTTGGCGAACCGGTTGGTTGAATACCTCGTAGAGAACAAGTTTGTTGATAAATCGGTTCAGAAGGCTTTTATTTACAGTATAAATGGGTGCATAGAACACAATCAAGTAGTTCAAGAGGTTATTGCAAATAGCCGGTATAGAAAACGTACCGTCCACATAACCTTTTTTGATATAGCCGATGCCTTTGGTAGTGTCAGCCACGATATCATTTCTCACTCGCTTAAACGATTTGATGTACCACAAAATGTTTCATTGTATATTGAGAATTTATACAGCCAACTACAAGGTAGTACTGCCGGTTGTAATTGGTCATCAAACCCTTTCACGTATAAGAGAGGTGTATTCCAGGGGGATCCCCTCTCACCCGTTATTTTCCTCACATGTTTCAACCCCCTACTTGAATATTTGGCCGAACTCAAGGATAAGTATGGATACAATCTAAATGGTACTAAGGTGATAACGACACCTTACGCTGATGATTTTAATCTCATTACATGTAATAAGTTACAACATCAGAAGATAATCAGTAAACTGCACCACTATAGTTCATCCATGGGCCTTATACTAAAACCGTCTAAATGCTGTAGTCTGTCAGTCAGCAGTGGTTCACCAAGAGAGATCCCATTTTACCTTGGCAATGAAACTAGTATTAGAATACTCAGAGAAAACCCTCATCGTTTCCTCGGGGCCCAAATTTGCTTCAGTAATAAAACATCAGAAGTTTTCCAATACGTCTACAGTGAAATTAAAACAAAGCTAGAAAGAATAGATTGATCATTGGTAAGACCTGAATTTAAGGTGGCTATATATACTAGATATATGCAACCATCTGTTCGCTTTCTTCTAACAGTTCATTCCCTCCACAAGACCAACATAAACAAACTTGACCTTCTATCTAGACGGTTCGTCAAAAAGTGGCTGGGAATCCCATCCCGTGGGGCAAATGTTGCCTTAGTACATATGACCCAAGGAATGAATATACCACAGATGTCTGATATATATTGGCAGAGCCACACTCTAGCACTCAAAAGATCTAGAGTCAAAGGGGACTCCTTGGTGAAATACGCACTGGATTGTACTCTCGAAAGAGAATCACGATGGTCACAGAAGACCTCGTCTATTGTTCAATGTCAACTAAATCTTAATAGAGTACAGGATACGGTAGATGTTAATAATAGTTCATGGAAGGTAGTGAAGAAGAGTGTCAAAAACGTGTTAGAACATGATGCAATAACATACTGGGAAAAGTCTGTTGAACCATTGCTTTGCCAAGGCCAGTTTGTGAAACTACTGACTCTGGAAGACGAAAACCTCACATGGAAATCCATAATGTACAATCTACCTAAGAGGGTATTAAGCTTTGTAACCAACTCATGTATTGACTCTTTGCCATCATACGCAAATCTTTACAGGTTGAGGGAAAAGACTGACAAACAAGTGCCCTTTTTGCCCCCTTACAACTGGCACCCTTCACCACATTCTAGCAAACTATTCAACATTTCTTGAAAGATACGAATGGTGGCACAATAATGTTCTTAGGTATATTTATCAAACTGTGAAAGAGTCCCTCCCTCACGAACAAGTTTATGCCGATATTCAGGGTTTCACCGTTGCGGGCGGAACCATCCCATCCCATATTTATGTAACTTCTCAACGCATCTCGTCGTTATTTGGGAATCAATGAAACAAATGCTAATGATCGAACTAACAGTGCCCTTTGAGACAAACACCAATGCTGCTCACACGACAAAGCTCGACCGGTACAAAGAACTTGTGGCCGAAGTAAGAAACAATGGTTACAGTGTGACATACCATGCTATTGAGATAGGAGCAAGGGGGCAAATAAATAGGGGCAACACAAATCGGCTAAAGTGGGTACTCAGGAAATGTTCAGTCACTCTTCACCCGAATAGTTTCTTTCAGAACATAAGTAGGTACGCAGTTGTGTCATCCTTTGTCATATTCAATGCAAGAAAAGAATCACAGTGGAGGGTCCCTGTGTTAAGTCTATGGGACTTTGAACATGCAGAAGTCAAGAGGTTAAAAGTATCATCACTCACCTCCACAAGGTCCATGTCGCTGAGCTTGAGCCCGGCTTTCTCCAAGGCATTCCTGATGGCGTAGACCGGTCCAATGCCCATGATGCTGGGGTCACACCCGGCAACGTTGTACCCGACGATCCGAGCGAGGGGCCTGAGGTTGTGCTTAGCAACCGCCTCTTCGCTGGCTAGGATCACTGCTCCTGCACCGTCACAGATACCCTGAAAAAGCAACAAAGAACAATAGAATGTCATGATTAGATTCAATTTGTGTAGATTTAATGTGCATATTTAGTAATTAAAAATATAGTTGAGTTCTGGTCATGCGATTGCATTGTGAAAGAAAAGGTGTGGAATGGATCAGAAAAAGTTGATCATGTAGCATGTACATGTAAGTATTGGTGTGTACTGCAAGGTTCTTGAGTCATCAAAATCATAAGAAATTTGGCCCAGTCTTGGTAAAGTAACAAGCACTGTACACAGAAAGATGTACATGGGACTACACAAATAGTGTCAGGGCTACTTACCGGGTACCTGGATTTCCTTATATTTTTGATGATGATGATGATGATGATGATGATGATGATGATGATGATGATGATGATGATGATGATGATGAACAGCATTTGTATAGCGCCATTTATCTGCAAAAGCATTCAAAGGCGCCTGGCTCCCTCAATATGTCACATATTATTCGCAATGTTGCCGGAAAAGATAGGTTTTGAGTTCAGATTTAAAGGTATCAATGTTGTTACAATTTCGAAGTTGGACAGGTAGAGAGTTCCAAAGATGCGGAGCAGATGAAGAGAAGGCTCTATCCCCGTATGTTTTTAGACGGGTACTGGGCACTTGAAGAACGAGTCCCGCACAGCGTAGTCCTGGTTTATGCTCATTACTCAGCTAGTATACATTTTCTACCAAAATTGTTTGGCAATTGGCGTTTATTTTTAATCTTGAACATTCAATGTAAGTTTTGTTTGATTTTGTGAGAATTCATTTTCTTCTTTTTTTACCAGAACTCAAGTTTATCTTTAAAAGGGTTACAGGTAACATTGCATTATAAATGAGTTCATCCATTCAACAACATGGACTATTTACCTTAGAAAATAATTTGTTTCAAACCACTATGTATAGAGTCAATAATAAAAACCGAGACACAAACAAAAGTGGATTTTGCCCTTCTTCATCTAAGAGCAAATGACCCACACTTTGTAGTTGATCTAGGATAATTTCGCGAGGATGATCATCTGCGGTTATGAATTTTGTCCTTTCTTCGACCTCTCCAATACAATACCTCTAAAAACAAAAATCTACCTACTGATAACTTAGTAAGCTGAGCAAGGCTTGTCTAACAGGGATGTCAATTGAAGGTTTACAGATACTGATCGTTTCTTGGACCAACGAAATGACCAGCCATTTTTTAGGGTTAAACAACACGACTAAAACACTTCTAAATATACGAGTTCTACCTACCGATACTGAGCCATTCTTCTCGAATAAACAGTCATAACTAATAGCAAGCTGAGCAAGGCTGGTCTGACAGGGTTGTCAATTGAAGGTCACAGATACTGATCTTTTCTCTGATCAAATGACCAGCCATTTTTAGGGTTACACCACTGAGACCACTCACTTGAAATACTTCTAAAGATACGAGTTCTACCTACCGATACGTTCCTGGCCGATACCAGGCCATTCTTCTTGAAAAAATAGCCGTAACTTAGCAAGCTGAGCCATATTGGCCTTACGAGGGTGTCAATCGATGGTCAAAGATACTGATCTTTTCTGGGACCGACTAAATGACCAGCCATTTTCAGGTTTAAACAATACGACTATGTCACTTCTAAAGATATAAGCTCAACGTACCGATGCGTTCCCTGCTGATACTAAGCCATTCTTCTTGAATACTGGTGGTAACTTGGCAAGCTGAGCCATAGTGGCCTCGCGAGGGTGTTCATCGGTGGTAACAGACTTTGGTCCCTTCTTGGAGGCCAGCTCGATTGGTGCCAGCTCAGCGTCAAAGATACCTGCCTTGTTAGCTGGAAAGATGCAAGCAAATGGAGTCGATCAGATATTATGATATTGGAACCATTATCCATGTCAACAACAATAAAATCTTTAAAAAGAAGTTAAAACAATTTCTTTTCCGTAAAAATGTATAATTATTTTCTGTTGCAAATTTCATGTCATATTATCATTAAAGCTCTTTTAAAGGGATTAAGTTTACTTTGTCTCAGATTCTGAAACAATATCCTAGATTTAGCTCATGCTGCAATGATTATCATAATCCTTTAGGTCAGTCAGGAACCCCAGACTTTTACAAGCCGATCGCCTGTCAGATTATCAAGATATTTATGATCGGAAATCAAAATCAAATTCATAACAATACAGTCTATTGGGAAAAACGAGTATCGTAAAACCGGTCACTCAAAGATTGTTACTTTTTTGAGGCATTTCATGATCATTTTGAAGCGAAAATTTTGTAGGCTTCAATATTACACCATATCACAGACACTGATAACACGTAGGGCCATGCATCTCAGATTTAACATTGTTAAACAATGCCTTTCATGCTTCTTAGTAGTAAGCTAACACAGACCATCAACCGTTTATATGATGACGATACTGATTCTTTATCGCAAGTGTTAACGTGCAGGTGCTGACTGATATTATCCTGATGGTAATAATGATAACTCTCATTACTGAGATAAAGAATGATAAGTGTGGTGATTGTAATATAAAATAGCGCTTAATCATTGCAGTTCATGACAATGCGTATACCCGGTAATATAATATGGCGTTTACAGTAATATAGAGCCTTGTAAAAGAAAAGAGAAAAACTACATACCTTCTGCCCATCTCTGTTGACCAAGCAATGCAAATTCATCACAATCTTCCCTCGTGACATCATACTTGGCACCTAGAGTCTCTGCCGTGATTCCCATAGGGGTCTTAATGTGTGCGTCGGTTAGGGTAGCCCATAGGGTATCTTCCAGCTACACAAAAAAAAGAAAAATAAGAAAATGTTCAGTGTTCACTGTAGATGTACATGTATACAAAGAGAATTCATCACAATCTTCACTCATGACTATACTTTGCACCCAGAGTCTCTGCTGTGATTCCCATAGGAGTCTTAATGTGTGCATCGGTTAGGATCGCCCATAGGGTATCCTGTAACTACACAAAGAAAGGGAAAATAAGAGAGATAAATTGTTCACTGTAGATGTAAATATTGCTGTAGATACCCTGGCTCAGGGACAACAGTTTAATCCCCCAACATTTGACTTTGAAGATAATGGATGCACAAATTTCTATGATTTCATTGTGTTGTTTACGGGAGTAGAAAAAACGAGAGTGGAAAAAACGGAAGAAAAAAACAGGAGAGTGAGTGAGAGACATTTTCACAACATGTACAACACAGTCACATTCACATTATATATTTTTTTTCACTGTTTCATATCTTTACCTCATTTGATAGTGGCTCTGACTTTCTGTGAGTGTGTGTCTGTGTGTGGAGGGGGTAGGGGAGGGGGAATATGCTAGAATGGGTACACGTTGCAATGACAAAATGACTGAACTTATTCCACCTGTGAGATAAAAGCTGACAATGTGTATTCAAGATTGAAGTACTTGCAGGTTTGCAGATACCAGCAAAGTAACAGCAAAAAGTCATGAACTTTGCTCAATACAAGGTTCTTTATCAAGTGCCTATCATTGTATACTGATTACAAATACTGATAAATCAATAGATCTTTGACTACGTCCGCTCAATTTGAAGCCTCTGGTTTAGTCGATATGACTACATGTACATGTTCTTTGGTTATCCATGTCTTGCTTTACCAAGGGTGTATAGACACTTCCAATGCTAAGTCGTTTTAGGTAGCTTTAGTCAAATGGCATGAAAGACATATATCATGAGCTCAGGTTTGGTGATTATTAGCGTTGTAATTTGACAAAGTTAAATAAAAGATTGATATTTTTAGATACTACTTCACAGAGCTGATGTTCTGTTTAGACTCTATCAAAAAACGGTTATCCCCAACTACCATTTTATAGTGGTAATTTCTTTTAAATAAGCAAACCAAGTACTTGATGAAGTCAATGATTGCTATCAGGCCGAGCCTAGTGCCATACCTAGCCCCTCAGAGCGTGTATCGAATGAAGCTCATGTTTACTTATCATGGTATCAAATGTACAGTTATCCCTAACTATCATTTTATAGTACTACCACGTTACTTACAGTAGCCAATGAAAAATAAACAAACAAACAGACAAACAAAGACATGAGCAAACATAGTACTATACCTTTTGGTCTTCACCGAGCCTGGTACCAAACCTAGCCCCTCTGAGTGTGTATGGAGCCATGCTCATATTCTCTGTTCCTCCCGTCAGTGCTACCTCCGCATCACCTGCCAGTATCTCCTAGCAACCACAACACAGATGGGATGAGAACAAAAAAGGACTTGTTGCTTCACAAATGCCAAAGTTTATAAAGTTGATCATAATAATAATAATAATAAAAATCTTTTAAAGTCCACTCCAAATTTTGAACCGAAAATGGAAATTCTTTTTGCCCAATTGAAACAATCAGAATCAAAATCGGTTGAAAAATAACGAAGAAGAAGCATTTTGAAAATCCTGATGTTGATGCCACAACAAAGTCTAAGTTTGTTGACCTTAAATGACCTTTGACCTTAACTTAGTGACCTGAAATTCTACTCACATGATTGGGGAGACTTAATAACCCTATAGTCCAAGTTTCATTGACTAAGAACTTATACTTTCAAAATGATATCAAAAATTCAAAAACTTAACCTTAGGTTAAGTTTTCGATGATGATGCTAGTACAACATAGTCCAAGTCTGTTGACCTGAAATGACCTTTGACCTTGACTTTGTGATCTGAAATTCTACTCACATGATTAGGGATACTTGATTACCATATAGGCCAAGTTTCATTGACTAAGAACTTATACTTTCAAAATTATATCAAAAATTCAAAAACTTAACCTTAGGTTAAGTTTTTGATGTTGACGCCGCCGTCGCCGTCACCGGAAAAGCGGCGCCTATGTCTCGTTTTTTGCTACGCAGGCGAGACAAAAAGGACTTGTTGCTTCACAAACGCCAAAATTTATAAAGTTGCTCATAAGTTCTTAGCCAATAATAATAATCTTTTAAAGTCCACTCCAAATTGTATTAAGTTAAACCGAAAATGGAAATTCTTTTTACCCAATTGATTGTGAGCCCGGCAGCCACTTCCATAGAGGGCAGCACACTAAGCCAACAGGTATTACTCTTCCCTGCGTAAGAGTGTACCTTTATGCCTACGTGTTTGCCACGTTGCCTACTTCACGAATGACTACATGTATATACCCACGCCTGAATGTCTTAACCACTTGAGTCACTTGACTGCTCACCACGTACATGTACATGTTCTCACTCTCGCATGCCTGTGCGCACCACGTACATGTACATGCTTTATAGGGCATTGTACTTTCAAGACCGTAGCACTGCATAATACCTAGCCCTAATGTGTAATTAGCACTGCAATGACGTTATACAGGTCTTAAACAGTAGATGACGCTCCTCCAAAAAAAAATCAGCTTTTTTGTGTACAGTGTAGTTTACATAAATGCTGTAGCACAGGGGCTATAAACGCATTTTTAGCCAATAGCAGTCAAGTGGTTAACAACCACATTATTCATACCCCTTGTAAATTTGATGTGTTTTGGCGGTCTTTTACGTAACTCAATAATAAAGGGTAGACAAGTTGAATACACTCCTTCTGAGTCCTTCATGGTAAAGGCCTCCATTTTATTTTGCGAGTAAACATTGCGTCATCAATGTTTTCAGGCGAGCATGTATTGTTGGGTCACTGCCTGCCCTGCATGCTCACAGCATATCGACACATGCGCTTTGCATGCTGCATCAAATAAGGCTACTTGCAATATTTACTCGCTTCAAATGGCGCCCATGTCGGCGCACGTGCACTCTTGTACCCGCGAAAGGGTGTATTAGGGCCTTTGTTGATTACTATTAGATGTAAGCTGTGAAAAGTCTGTAAAAGTCCTGAAATTGGCAACATGTTGAGAGAACCAACATTTTAGTTTTTTTCAATCAAAATTAAACTCTTTTTCAATTTTAAAAAAACCCCAACATTCTAACACATGTAACTTGTATTCAGAGATATTACAATTTTGTTTGACAAGGTATCAATGAAGAAAATATTAGTGTTGGTAATTTGAAGAAGAATATTTGGTTAATTTAGCCGTTTAGATAAATCCTATCCTGAAAGGGTTTGAGTGAACTTATTCATCCAGGGGGATGTTTCACAAAGATCCTAAGTTGAACTTATCTCTAAGTTGGACTTAACAACTATGGAAAGCCATTAGCTTCTTTGAAAAATTTTCAAAAGATATTTTAAAAGGCATAAAATGTTGATTCAAACCATTCATATTTTCTATTATGAAGGAGATATCATGTCCTTGATGTCGAATTTATGAAAAGTCTAAAATACTTGATTTTTTGCTTTTGAATATAATTCATTATAAGGCTACAAATGGCTCTCCATAATATTTAAGTCCAACTTAGAGTTAAGTTTGACTTAGAATCTTTGTGAAACACCCCCCTGAGTATATTCATGTAGTATAAAGTATCCCACTAACCTGTGTTGCAGATACTATTGAGGTGAAGCCAGACCCGCACAGTCGATTGACACCTAGGGCAGGCTTAGAGACTGTTACCCCACACCGGAGAGCAACATGCCTGGCTGTGTATGCGGCATCTGGTGCTGTCTAGTAGAGAAAAGGGATAACATTCTTTCAAAATAAAGCAATGAAGTAATAATTGATGTAAAGATGGACCCACAACTTAGCCTATTAAAACCTACATCACAGCATTTATAGAATAAATAATACATGATAATGAAATAAACTTTAAATAAGTACATTAATCTACACTTGCCACTCTCCACCCAGGTGTTAAATGGGTACCGGTAGGAAGGAACTCCTTAAATGCTGTGAGCGTCGAAATCGGCAGCCTAGCATAGCCGGGTAATGTTGGAGCACCTTGAGGACCTTGCAAGGTCGATACATGCTCGATATAAGAATCCAATATTATTATTATTATTAAAAGGGGATTCCACTAATTTAAGAAGAGATATGTTTTCACAAATTTCTTAAACTGGTCTGTGGAATTAGCTGATTAGGTGAAACATGGGATATGGTTCAATGCTTTAGGTAGCTGTTACATTAAGTGAACGTTAGCTTTGCTACAAGTCTTTGGAAAGGTAAGAACAAAAGGCTTCCTAGAAGAGCAAAGATAGGACCAAGGGAGTGTTTCACAAAGACTAAGATCGACTTTAAAGTTTAAGTTGGACTTTACTATGACAAGCCCTTTAAGTCCCTGTCTGCTCTCACCATTTACTGGCATTGGTCTCTCAAGGGACATACATGTACAAATCATGGTCACAAACCTACATAATTTACGTTTTTTGCTAATTCATTATTGAAGGAAAAATATCATATATAGATCATTATGGTGAAAGCTAACAGTGGCATGAACAGCCTGCCAAGTCCAACTCAAAGTCGATCTTAGTCTTTGTGAAAAACCTCCCTGATGAGTTGTTAAATGTAAATCGATCTTTAATATAATATGAAATACGAAAATTGAAAATCTATTTTGATCATTAAACAATTAAAAAAAGGTGCTCTTGACCTTAAGAGGGAAACTGAAACACTAGCCCTGTTTTCATCAGCCCGACGTTGCAATTAGCGGGATATTTGGTAGAGATAATCATCCCAAGAAATCTTGGGCTACTGTGTAAAATATCCCGCTATTTGTCCGGTGCATCTTCACCAGCTTGAAGACTTGTACTAAGCGTGCACTCTGAGCAAAATATCTCGAGCTCAAGAAATTTCAAGTTTGAAGTTTTGAGGTTGAGTCTGAAGCTGATGACGGAATTTGCAACTTCAGGATTATTTCCAAAATCAGAAATACTGTAGTGGGCTATTAGGCAATCCGGAGCTGATGAAGGCATACCTAATCACATCATTTATTAAAGATTGCATGTGGAGTGTTTACTCTGCAGTGTGTGTTTACCGAAATTCAACTTGTCGGCCCATATCAATTCAGATCACTCTGCTCAAAACCTATTAAGTATAAGGGCAGGTCCAACGTACAGTGCATAAAGCCATTTAAAGGGGAAGTCCTCCTGATATTAGATTGGTTTTAATAGAAGCAACAACAAAAAAGAGACAATTGAGTGAAAGTTAGACCAAAAAAAAAAAAAAAAAATAAGAAAGAACTATCAATTTGTCTACCGGTATACTATAGTAAAACTGGTCACTCAAAGACTTTTTATTTTTCTGAGGAACTTCATGATAATTTTGAAGCGCAATTTACACCATGTCACAGACACTGATAACACGTAGGGCCCTGCATCTCAGATTTAACATTGTTAAAAGAAAGCCCCTGAGGGATTCTCACGTGTGACACATTTCCAATGATGGTGGTGTCGATGATCGCAGGGTCGATGTTGCCTGCTGCTAGCGCCGCCTTAGCTGCCACCTCAGCAAGGTCGGTACCGGTCTTATCCTTCAATACACCGCCAAAGGCACCGAAGGGCGTACGCTTGGCACCAACAATGAAGATTCCTAAAAAATGAAATAATAAATAGATTATGAGTGACACTATTTGGTTAGAATTTAACAGACCTCTGGAGTTCAAAAGTTGTATTTTTTAATCCCAATTTTTTTTTTTTACTGGCAAAAATTGTATTAAAAAAGAAAACATGGACTGTTACGCAGATCAATGCCTCTTACAGTTCCTACATCCAGGGAGACATTTTTATATGGATCATTGGTTAAATATGCATGATTTCATCATGACTGGTGTGTTCAATGAACCAATTAACGTCCCCAAATTGCCGATGTGAGATGCTTGTGAGATACTTTACAGGACAGAATGGGTATTTTGCCATTGAAAATGGCACAAACACACACACACAAAATACATGTACAACCCCCCAAAATCATATTTTATTGAGTAAAATCGTACTGTCGTATGACGTACATGTACTTCTAAAAATTGTACAAAATACGATTAAATCATACTGGTTGGCAGCTCTGTTAGAAGCCCAGTCTTCTGAATTTAGAATTGATCTGTTATTTCTCTGTTTGGAGCCTAACAATAATTCTTGCCAGCAAACACTAAGTACAATAACGACCACAAAAAGATTGGTACCAATCCTGTCTTTCAGAGAACCATCGTATCAAAGGTATCGTCAGTGGTACACTGGGCACCACCAATGAAGTTTCCTGCAAAGAGTAGGGTGTGATTAAAGGATGATTATTTAGAATTCCACTCCTTTGAGTTTCATCTTAGAACAGCTAGGGCCCTGTTTCATACAACTTATTTTCCATGATTAATGCTAAATTTCTCTGACAAATTCCTCCCAACCAATAAAGTGCCACGATTTCAGGAGCTTATAACAGTTCTTGACGGATTAACTTCACGCTTTTCTTCCTGCCATACTTTACAAAAAAATGACTGCATCTTGACTGGTAGTGATCTTATCTTTCATAGAACGACAGAAGGTTCCGAGGTTGGAATGCCTGGCACCAACAATGAAGATTTCTCTCACAAGCAAATTGTGATGAAATGTCTTTTCTTCTCTTCAATGAAATACAGATAGGTCTAAAGCCTTAATCTAATAAAACTAGATCTTTTATTTTTAAAGGAAAAATTTTGAAATTGTAAAAATGAAACGAGCACACTTTGAAACTCAAAGACTACAGGAGAGGCTATCTACATGTACATGTGTAGATCTGGTTTAAGGAGCTGATGTGATGTGAAAATCTGTAAGAATTCTATCATTTAAAGGTAATAGTACTGGTCATGAATTTGGTTCAAATGAATATATTGGAAGCATATACGATCGTACAATATTCAGTGATCGTTGTCGCGGTCGAAATCGACTCTAAAGTTATGAAATTGTAAATAGGTCTAATAAATATTTTATGTTAAATAGCTTCCTCTCAAGGTCAAGTTATTAATTAAGCTATAAAACAATGCTTATTGACTAAAATCGACCGATTAGCTATTGTCATTCGGAAATTATATACCAGAACTACATACTCTGAGATTTTCATGGTCGCAGAATGAAGAATGAAGCCAGACTTGATCTACACATAGGTGTAGACTATATTACACAACATCAACAATCACAAGGTCACTCCAAAGTCATTCAATAAAGCAGGGCCATGGGTACATGTAACCCAAGTCATTATACAACTATTCCTAGAGCTAAATTAATGACATTCAGACAAGATCATGAAATTAATGCATATAATGTTGAACTGAATACCCCAATTCTTGCATTGTCATTGATATTTCATTCATAATTCTGACACGGTTATTCTTGTCGCACTTTCTTACACACCAACGGGATGCCAACAATCCCTTCGCCGTCAGTTTAGCGCAAGCTCACCACCAATCCATCGTACCGCAGCCCGGGAGCAACGGCTAACTTGTAAAACGTATCAACACCTTCAACGGATTATTAATCGTGCTGTCATAGATATTTAATTTGGAAGAATAATAATTCAAAGGCAAAGGAAACGCTAAAAATGTGGTTTACCTCGAGTAAGGGCCATCCTGTGGAAATTGCAGAGCTTTTCAGTGGGCAGAAATGAATGGAATACGAACAGAGCTTGCACAGCAGCACCGCAACATTAAACAAGGCTTACAGGAGTCTGGCGCCATCTAGGGGCGAATTCTGAAATTGTTTATTCATCTGAACAAAATTACTTTCGGCAGACCCTGCATAGTATCATTCACCTATAAGTTTCTGTAACTTTTTGATGATTTGGAAGAAATATCTAACTGTATTATTTAAGCTTGCATCAGAACAGTGATTAAATTCATTCCAATTCATGTCATTTACCAATTTGATTTGTTTATTTTGGCAAGCTCTCTATACTCTGCATCGGCATACCCTAATGTTTACAAACTGGCATTATTAAAACTCATTGAAATAAAGAGTATTTCCAAAGGCCTAATATTATCGAATTAAACGCTTAATAATGGCAAGCAGCCAGAGAGTTTGGATGTGCAATGAATTAGGCAATGACCATGGAAGGATATTGGTCAGGCCGTATTAAATTAACTTGTACCAATTTAAACCAAACATTAATTTTCTTGAATCAAATTTTCATCCCACTACTGCACAATTAACTACCAATAGATGACATAGCATGATAATACATAATATACAAAATACGTTTATAGTAAGACATTGATGGCATTTAGGCACTGCTCAAGGCTTAAGATAAAGACCAGTATTGGAAACGCCCCCATTTAAAAAAAAAATGAAATGGAAGCTCTTATTACCAATTATGTGAAAGAATATGTTTTGACTAATACGTGATTATAAAAATTCTGCCGGGAAACCGCCTACTAATTAATATATTTGGTAAATTATTATATCTATTTGGACCGGATAGATATCGCGCACGTGTTGCGTAGTCCCATGTGCATCTTTCTGTGTACATGCTTGTAACTTTACCAAGACTGGGCCAAATTTCTTATCATGTTGATGAGTCCAGATCCTATGCTAGATGAGCAACCTTTTCTGATCGATTCCACAACGTTTCTCTCACAATGCAATTGCATGACCATAACTGGTTTTTACCTTTAAGGCATTGTGGTTACTATAAAGTGTTCGGAGTCTGCGAGTGCATACTAGGTTTAGGAGTGGGTCTAGAATATGGCGAGAAATATGAGCGAAACTTGTTTCTGCAGACTGCAGGTCTGATTTCATCGAAGGTTGACACAAAGAAGAAAGCAAGAAAACACACCTTCAACAAACCTTTGGAAATCAAATAAGAAAAGGTGCGCCTATTATTTAGTCATATGTATTGTGTTGCTAACTGGACACACAAAGAATACAGTCGCACGAACAATTTCCTTACTCCGTTAAATTTCACACGGTTGAATAAGCGCGGTTAATCAAATTTCGATTATGAAAATAAATGATATATTCTTATCAAAACACGCCCGTCTATTATTCAATGCGAACCACAAAGAAATGAACAAAATTATTCATGACTCTCTCTTTCTCTCTCTCTCTCTCTCTCTCTCTCTTTCTCCAGAATGATACAATTTGATTTTGAAGATAACTGATAATAATATAGCGTACACAAAGGGACGAGCACGATTAAAGTGATCTATCTCACTCCGAATATTTATATTTAGAAGATAAATCAAATGCGTTTAGACACTGTTTTTATGCTCTTGAACGCTCACGCACAAAATTGATAAAAAGAAGGAAAAAAATTACATTTTCTCTCCTCTAGCATGAGATCACTCGCTAAAATGAGGAATTAAAAAATATATATTTAAACAAAATAATGTGAAAACAGATGCATAATGTATATTCTAAAGTTTCCGTTCTATTTCAATGCGCATACAAAGATAATTATGAAGAAAACAGATCATTTCTTTCGCTGCTCTATCTAACTCGCCCTGATATTCGTTGAAAAACATCGAACAAATGACCCCCTCCATGCATCTTTCTCCCTCCTTCATGCCCCCATCCCACCTCCCTCCCTCCATCTCTATATACCCCTTCCCTCCCCCCCTCTCTCTCTCTCTCTCTCTCTCCCTCCATCTTTAACCCCCTCCCTCCCCTTTCTCTCTCTGTCTCTCTTTCTCTCTCAATACCAACACTTGGAAGAATAAGTAGTTGCAATACGATTTCGATTTTGAAGATAAACAATAACGTGTCCATGATTTAGACCAAGGTATTGTGTCGGGAGGGGGGGGGGGGGGGGCTAACAGACAACTTCTCTGCAGGCGTTTCATCACCATAGCTAAATAAACAACTTTAATATTATTTCGACTTTGAAAATAAATGAACACTAGGCCTAATAACCGTACAAGGTTTGTGCTTGTGAATATGCGCACATAAAGAAACTGAACGAAATGGACAACTTTTCGACGTCTGTGCGTTTTGTCACTTTTTTGTATTAGATAAACAGTAAGATAAACACTTTTAATACAATTTCCATTTTGAAAATGAATGCAAATACGATGCATAAATTATTCGTACACGGTATTATTTTCTTGAATGCTCACAGAAACAAAACATAATCACGAACAAAAGGGACTTCAGTTCTGTGCGTTTTGTCACTCCCTAATACACGTTTAATACAATTTTGATTTTGAAGATAAGTGAATTACATATA